CCCAAAACCCCAAAACCCCAAAACCCCAAAACCCCTATACTTTGGGTATAAATTGAAATAAAATGGATGAGTAAGTGCACCTGGGCTTTTGAAGACAGCCAGCCAGCAGCATTTGGCTTAGGAAATTGTGCTGAAAATGTCCATATAGGCTTGGAAATTTTAACAAGAAAGAAGTACAACAGCATTCGTTGGTCACTTCAGCGAAGGAAGTGCTCAAGTTTCCTTCGGATTTGCAAGGTATGCTGGCTTTAAGTGAAATTTTAGGATTAATGAGACAAGAGAAGGAAGTAATGAAGGAGGAAAAGTCTTCCAAACCTATCCTCTTAGATAGGGTAAACTAGAGAGTCTTGGTGGAATGTAGTATTTGTGATTGTGCGAGAATTAGTATAATTACCTTTTAAATTTTATTACCTCTCTAATTATGCTCATTTAGGTAAAAATAAATGGAAAGCAGACAAAAAGTTTATCTAGACCAGATATCGAAATCAAACCGAAAAATATAGCTATGAAAATGGTAAAATTGCATGAACTATTGAAAATGCTACTAATGCATCACTTGATAAGCACTTTCCAAGAAATTTTTCTCAAGATACTTGTCATTATCAATCAGTTATATTTTCTTTATCACTTTCTTTAGGCTTTGAATGATCGAAAACTATATAAATTTGAAGAGCTACTTCGCAATCAGGAATCTTTCCAGTTAGAATCTTTAGAATCATCTGAAGACAGCCAATATCAGAGTAAGTTAATTTGTAACTTTCAGGCGATTTCAGTTCAGAGGATTCCTCTCTAGAAGCCATTGATTGGGAAGAATTCAAATAGAGATAGTTTGAACCAAGCTGAAAATATTGAAGAGTTGCTTGAACCAATAAGACTCATTGAGAAGCTTGAGTCCTACTCTAGAGACCAATTATCAAAACTCTCTTATCATGATAAACACAAGCTGCTTCAGGAGGTAAATTTTTACTTGAAGAATGGAGTCACTCCCGTTGAGAAGTATTACGAGGAGCTTAAGTCTGTATTCAAAATTCCCTCAAAATCATTGATTAATTACGATAAAATTCATTTCTACAAGCAGCTGAAAGCTGTCCGGATTTCGCACTCGGAATATGTGAAGGAAATCAAGAAGCAAAATAAAATTATAACTGAAAGGTTAATTAAAAAGACCATCTCTAATCTTGAAGAGGCCCTTGAGAAAGAAGCTTGCAGGATTATGTACAAAGAGCAACAAGCCAAGCAGAAGATTGAAGAGCTGACCTTAGATAATTGCAAGTGCAAAGAGATGCTAAAGGATCAGGAGGAAGAGATCACGAGGCTTAGGCAGCTGAATAAGCTTGCAGTTGCCAATTTTAACCCAGGAGTGATAAGTGACCAAGAGAAGGAAGATATCCTCTTCATGATGAAAGCAATTGAGGAAATTGATTCAAAGAGTTATGAGCTCAATCAGGATTTGCTTAAGGGATCGGACGATTTTGCAAGGTCTCAGATGGTTGACTCTATTGATAAGGCATTTAAATACATCGGATTACAGCCTCAGGCTTTAAAAATTAAAAACGATCCTTTGCTTAGAGATGAGTTTCAGTTCTTCAACAGCAGTATAGCTTTGAAACAGAAAGATAAAGTAGACGTTGTAATGAATGAGGCATCTTCCTACTACAAAGCCTGCATTAGATATCTCAGAAAAACAATTCAGGAGAAAAGTACGCCTTATGTTTAGATTTTAGATTCTGAAATAAAATCTTCAGCTGAAATGAACAATATGTACAGACAAGAAATCATACAACTAGAGACTACTAATAAAGAACATTCCACAGAGATCATTAATATCACTTCTAAAATAGAGGCTCTGAAGATCAAGCACAGCAATGAAGTTAAGCGGGACAAAGAGAGGAGCAAAACTGACAAAAAGGCTTTAATAAAGTCATTTCTGGAATGGAAAGAAGTAGTTGAGGCTGAAATTGGTATTAAGGAGGCAATTATCCGCCGGCAGCAAAAGCATAACTCCAAAATGAGTGAGGATGTGAAGAACCTGAAAGAGGTAATCCAGATCCCGAGATATCATTTTAAGAACCTTGAAAAGCTCTCTTTTGATGAAATAATGCAACAGAAGAAGATGATTGAGGAAGGAACTATTCCTTCGAGACAAGAGAGTGGTAGCTCAAGGAGTCATAATGGACAAACTAGGCCAGAGAGTTTGATAAAAAGCTCTAAGACTGTTTTAAAAGCAAAGAGAGCAGTTGGGACTCCTAAGAGAGGATCAGTTCGTCATCAATTTCCGGTGATAAGGAAAAATACGTATAAACTTTCACAGAGAAGGCATTTGATGAGGAATGGGGTGTCTCCTGAGACTTACCACACAATCACTCGCTCCGAAATCCCCAGCATCCTCCTAAAATCCACTGAAACGCCCACTCACCACTCAATCTTCACGACTCTAGACTCCCGAAGACCCAGTCCTCGCCCACACCCCTTAGAGCCCTCACTCAAAAGTTTCAGTAAGGGGTCTCTCTACTCACTCATCAGGACGGCCAACGGCTGCAACCCTAAGAAGAAATCTGTAGCTAGTAGAACTCTGCTGTAAACGTAGGTTTCAAGATTAATTTTTTGGATGGGGTTTTGGGGTTTTGGGGTTTTGGGG